CCCGGAGGTGCTGAGCCACACTTGTCTCTGACCGCTGCGCCTGACAAATGGCTTACTTCCTCTTTTTCTGAACGTTTCCTCCTTTCAAGGTGAGTCTCGCTCGTCTGTTTGCGGATCTTTGGCCTCACGACCATTTCGGACTGAAATGTTTCTTCGGGGTTGGTTTTTCCTGTGCCTTTATAGGAAGCGGGTACAGAGCTGGCTGTAACCCCATGACATTTTGGAGCTTGGTCTTCACCAACCAACAACGGACTAACTTTCCTATTTGCTTTTACAGTTCTTTCAAAATCTGGTTGCTCACAGCAAAGGTCTGTCGCGCTTTTAGAAGGTGCCATTTGCACTGAATGTTTCCTTATTTTTGAAAATACATTAGGATGCGAATCATCAAGCGAATTTCCACCCAATTCACAAATACCATCAAGTCTCTTCTGAGCAGCCAGAGATGGATTTAAACTCGAGTCCTCCTCCTCAGCCCCGCTGCTGTCAGGCTCATAGGCATCAATGTTGATGTAACTCAGAGCTTCCGGGTTGGGCTTAGGGTCTTCACTGACGGGCCACACTCTAGCCTGTTCGCTTTTTTCCATGCCAGAATAATATTTTCTGTCATATGGCACAACCTGGTCACTCTTTGGTCTCTTGAAATGGTTTAAGGGGGCTTTTGTGACTCTACACAATGAAGACTGCCTCCTGCTGTGGCCCTCCTGATTTGATGCTGCGTTTAACTCAGGGCACACTGCATTTGTGCATGCTGTCGGCAGAATATTCTGAAGCACTGAAGAAATGTTGCCCTTTGATGCTAGAAGAAAAATGTTTCAGTTATTATTCATTCTCCTTCACAGAATATTATTTCATTGTTTTGTATAGGAAGTAAGTGTATATGCACTATAGACTGAGTGTGACAAAGAAATGTTTTGGTTACATTTCCTCCAAATTTACAAGAATATAAGAAGATTTATTCTTTGCATCACAAAAAATAAAACCTATTTTAGAAACATTTCGATTCTCTGTATTGTCTCTTTCATGACAATTGTGTTTACCCCAAAATTGTCATTACTGTAATAAACCAAACCTCATTCATTATTGTAATAAAATAATAAAAATCCCCTTGTCCTGAAAATTAAAATTACCTTAATTTTTTTTTTTTAAATGACAAACTAAAGGCAGTGCAATAAATACTATTATTGTGCCACGTTCTTAATTATACTTCACAATGTAAACAATTTATTTTTACAAAGAAAAAAAATCTCATTTAATAATTAAACATTGTAATAAATCTATTTTTCTCAATGAGGTAAACTAGAATGAAATTTTGATCAATTCAGGGACAGTCAAGAGACCATTTAGAGTAAGAAAATGAGAACATGCTTTAACATGTACTTAATTGCTGTAAAAAAAAATAATGTTGCAAAAAGAAGTCTTACTGGTCCTGACAACAGGCTTCATTTTCTTAATGAAAAATATTTTTTTGTTGTTTTCATTTGGTTTTAGGGGTGAAATATGACCTGGGCATTTCCTGACAGTCACCCTATAAAAACATAAGAAACCGAAACCCATTTCAAACTACTTTCTACCCACCCTCACCATTCTCGTATATATTTGCATAATAAAGTCAAATGGTCTCCTACAGGGTTTCTGTCTACACCTTTTAAAGGTGATGAATGCTTCACTCTAAAGCAGAACAACCCACACACACGCATATTTCAGCTCTTCAAAATCCCTGTTACATTCCCAATATTACAAAGCTGTTTATTCACCATGAGAACCTCAATCTCAAAATCCATTCCTCCACTTCTATTGCTCACAGATTTCCAGTTACTCAGGATTTGTTTGCTGAAGTTTGTAATTTTAACATAATATTTGAATATAATATTCAGTGACAACTATAAGTAAGCCATATTTAAGTTGATTTCCAGAATAATCTTTAAAAAAAAATTATATGTTTATTTGGATTGACAATGGCTTGGCTTGAGTTTGGAGTGGGATCACAATAGCAGTCATTAATTTTGCAAATCAGTTTTTTTTTCCCTCATTTGTGGTGAGAAAATGACACACTTGGGCTTAAATGTTGAGTAACTCTTTAGTTTAATTATCCACTGAGGGTTTCCATCACCAGCTGGTACGTACCCACTGCCGGGTCCTTTTGACTTCTCGTCCTCTCCATGTTTTGACAGTCCACAGTGGATGCGACTCTTTGTTTATCTGTAACTGGCCGGAAACTGATATACGCGTGTCTCCGGCCGTACCTCCTGCCTGAGATGGTCTGGTATCCTCCAGTTGGTTTGGGCCATGCAGACTTGCCTGCTTCTTGACCCATTCCTACGAGAAACAGAAGCATACATTCACAACAAGAACAATAACTATGAAGATAACCATAACTATATAGCTGTCCACACCAACGCAAGATATCGTTCTGTTTCTTATAAGTGTGTTATGTCAGTTATGTCATCTACCACTTTAAATGCTCAAGCTCTTTGAAGTCAGATAGACTCAGACTGCCTGTTTATGTTTTTATCAGCTGAAAAAAAAATTGTTCTTTCAGCTATATTGTTCCTGTTCCCTATTCACAAAGAATTAGAACAATTATTAAAACGTTACAGTTAGAACCACAGCTATCGTCCTTGGTGTGAACAGGCCTTGCAAGTTTGGCTTTTCATAAATCTTGACTGTCTCAACACTAGAAAGATTTTTTTTTAATGAAAACATACTGTGTGACACCTATGCATCAAATAACACACAGTTCTAACCAAGATTCTTCATCTTTGATGCAGAAAATGCAGCAATCTTTTAAATATTGGTTCAATCCCTTATAAAACACATCCTGTTCAGGTGTTGGAGCATCTACTAATAAGTCATGGGCGTTAAACACAGGGAATATCTCAAATGTGCAATGCAGTGCTACTCCAGGACCAGGATTAGGACCAGGTTAGCTTTCCAACCTATGACAGCTCACACTGATGTTTATCAGAGTAACATCACGACAGTGCTTTAGCACAGCCTGATTATAACCCATCACTGTCTTGTTATTGTTGTCAATGTGGTTTGCAGCAAACACATCACATTCCATCCGTCAACAATACGCACTAAAGGTGATTAACATATGCTATCGCTTGTCACGTTACATGGAGATAAATCGTTGCAATAAATGCAATATACAGCCCTCAAAACAGATTTTTATCCAAAGAAACAGACAAATCCCGTGATTAACATGATCAGTAGGATCAATTCAGTCGAATACGGGCCCTGATACAAGTTGAGCGCAGCTAACAAGCTAACGTTAATGTTTGTCGACAGGCGCTGCTGCTTCTAGGGCGTGGATTATAATGTCTGCCGACTCCTTCATTCCTCCAATTTCACGCAGAAAACTCACACGATGTTTTGGTTTAGGAAATGTGTCGTTTGTTAACGGACAGTACCTGTGTTCCTGGATGCCTTCTGTATCACAACTAATTGCGAACGTCACCATGAAACTTAAGGGTCACGTGACACATGTCCGCCAATCAGCTGTGAGTATCATTGGCAGTATTATAATTGGGTGCAGCTAGGCAGCTGTAAACCAACTGCAACACCACGTGTGCAATTTAAAGCCCACCTGGAAACAGAAAGCAGGCGGGGATAGGATGGGATGGGGTGGAATGCTATGCTATAGGACGGGACAGGGCAGGGTAGGATAGGATAAAATAGGGTGACACATTGGAATAATGCAAGTTCAGGTTGGATTAATTGTGTGAAACTGAAAAAGAATTGATTTCCAATGATGCAATTGCTAGGTGCTTCATAAAATATTAAGTGAATGTGTGTAGACCAGGAAATGATTAATTAATTCATTCGTAAGAATAATTGGAGGAAACATACAACACAAAAATAATTTCACTTGATTAATCAATTAATGAATTAGCTAATAATTTATTAAGGCAAGACACTAAGTAGGCTAAACAGCATTAAAAAAGATCACTGCACAGTACATTAAGACCATTTTTTTTGTATTATAAGTTTTGAGAAATGTTATGTTGAAATATACAAATGAGGCATATCTAATTAAATATGCACTACATATTGCATAAATGTCCAGAACAGAAATCTAAACATTGGATAAAGCAAGCATTTTGTTAACATTGAGTTAATGGTTTTTAAGGAGGGGATTTTGGATATCTCACTTTATCTCTTCATAAATCATAAAATACCACTCCATAAATCATCTCCATGAATACTGTCAGACGGCCAGAAAAAAATCACCATGTTTTATATAAGATGTTTATACAAAATAGGTGGATGTTATATGAACAAACCATTCTGTATAAACGTTCAGAGAATAGAAAAGAATAAAAAAGAATAGAAAGTTTGGTGTATGTAAGTACTACTGAAATGCAGATTTCTTGTTCAGTGCATGAGAAAAAAACTCATTTTGAGAAAATGGTCTTCAAAGATATGTATTGTAATTGAAATGTACACAAGCAAACAGATGAAATGTAAGAAAATAAACCCTTAAATGTGTATTTTGGGTGTTTTCTTCCCACTAGTTTCAAAGACTACAAGTTACAAAATAACTCATAAATCTCAAAATTGACCAGTGCCTGAAAAAAATGGCTTTGCTTGTAGTGTTTTGCATTAATTCAGATTTATTTTAAATCTCAATATACTGAATATATTTTGAAATATAAGATATAACACGTTTATATAAAATATAGGCCTAACACAATAACACGGAACAAACATTTAGTTATAAATTCCATATTTTTACATTTCTATATGTTACAGGGCAGGCTATTAATAATTAGTGTCTGTCAAATGTTTTTGGGGGGTTATTTTAGATCTCTGGGACCCCACAGATAAAGACAGCCTCAACAGTAAATTGACTCAAATGTATGGGCTCACTTGATTGCGTGTGTGTGTGTCTGTGTGAGTGTGAGTGTGAGTGTGGTGTGTGTGTGTGTGTGTGTGTGTGTGTGAGTGTGAGTGATGTGTTCACTCGTTAGGCGGCGCAACTCCACGCTCACTTTTTCTCTGTCTGTAGCCCAGTAAGCGCAGGAAGGGGACAGGGTTGGCGCTTTTCCTTTGCCTGTTTGACCATCACAATTTGCTGAATCACACAAACTCTATCGCATCGTCAAAACTTTGAAGACAGATCGCAGTGGATTTCAGTCCGTGGATACACAGCGCGACATTTCCCCTCCGTCAGCTAGAGAAGGTGTCTCCTTCCGCACAACTCTTCACGGCGAAAAGACCTTTCTTTTTCACTTCTGCCTTCTGTCACCTACGGGACCACCGCTCGCGAGCCACACGCTTTTAAAAGTTTGCCTTTCATGTGAATGTACAGGACTCCTCTGAGAAATGAAGCTCAGCAGACAGTTCACAGTTTTTGGCAGTGCCATATTCTGTGTTGTGGTATTTTCCTTGTACCTGATGTTGGATCACATAGATCATAGCAAAAACCCAAATGGAGAGAGAATTCAAAATGTAAGTAGCTTACTGTTCTTACGCTCATCAATAAATTGTGTTATATGAAGAGTGTTGTCAGCATATGTGTGTTTTATGTGTTCAGACTGCTGGTCCGTGAACTTACAGGGTAATATTAACTCGATGCTGATGTGGTTGATAAAAGACAGTAGTTTGAATTGATAGTTTGCTTCCTTCCAAGTGACATTATGCTGTTAAAATAATAAATTGACACAAAGATGGCTGTGAACAGTAGGCTAAGTCATTTCCTGTTTCTTAAATACTTTATCGTGTGTTTTTATTGAATAACTTATTGTGATACTGTTCTAAGCAATTAAGAAAGCGAATTAAAAGAAAGATTGTGTTAAGCTTCGGACAGTGAACTGATCTCAAAGGTCATTAACCCGCAGTCCCCAGCGTTCATAGGTTGTGTTTCAAAATCCCAGCGAACTGCCTACAAAGACAGCACAGTGTGATTCCCACTGAATTCTGTTTTTGCATTCAAACAGGCACAGACTCCAATGAATGGTCCAATGAATATTGTATTTTTATGGTTGAAGTTAAGGTATCATTACAAAAGGCGCAAAAATGTATCCTCAGCAATACCTAGTCATAAGAACAACGATATTTCATGCACCTTAAGTAGCCTACACAGTTGTTAAATTCGAGTCTGATATGACTGAAAGAAAAACGTTTTGTTGAGTATTCGTTATGTCAGACTGATTTAAACCGAAATCATACGATTGTATTTTTTACGATTAATTAATTGAATCGACTCATAAGAGTCATTTGCTGGTGAATCAGACTACATTGTTCGCGCTGTACGTTTGCTTTTGCATGCAGCTTGCGAGGTCAGCTCAAAAGAAAAAAAGTTTTGGCATAATTGCATAGTCTTTTTATTCCATCTCATTCTATTCAGACTGTAAGCTAATAAAATATCATTTGTTTTGCTGTGACACTGGAGAGTCAGTAGAAGCGGAGCTGAAAATGCGCAAACAGCTTTGACGCATCTCAACTGGCAGTTCACTCGGTTTTGAGACATACATAATTCTTGCTATTTTCCCTTACGTTTTCCACTTAATGCTGTTAAAATGTGCGATTAAAAACAGATTCAAATACACTGTCATTACTCAAATGTAGGCTACTGTAAGTGATTTGTTTTCCAGTAAAGCTTCCTGGTGGTGTGGCCAGTTCAAATGAGCTCATGAATCGAAAGGGAGTCAGTTCTTCTGAATTCTGAATTTTTTTCAGAAACAGAAACCTGTTATATTGGAAAACTGTCACATTTCTGATGTGTACAGAGGGTTACGATTGACAGCCGAGAAACAGTGATGTTTAGTGAATTTAGGCTTACCCTAAATTCAGTAACAAGTCCTACAGTGTCTTACATACACTGTTTATTTGAAATCCAGTAGACTAAACCTAAGCTTAACACTCTGGCAGCAGCAAATATGAATCTCCTGAGAGTTTTACAAGGTTTAGCACTGATGTTATTTGACATTGATGTACTATAATCTGGTGTGACAAATATTCAAACACCTCTTTTGAATGACATTTGAGAGCCATAGTGGGAGAATTCGAAATTAATGTTGTACATTTTAGTCTCTACCATTTTCATAGACACAGTGCTTGTGCCTGATCTGGAAAAGTTGGCGGCCAGATGCTGCATTAAATTACTTTGGATGTTAAAATATATTTTCTAAATCCATAAGTCTTGTAAACAAAGTCTGAGATGTGCTATATTCAGTTTCGCTTAGTTATGTAGTAATGCATTCAGTTATGTCATTGTCTGAATTTTGTGCTGAAGGAGTACGTGATTTTGACCAGTCTTAAGTGTTTCTCTGTTTTTCTGTATTCTACAGGGTCAGCTTGGTATTCTGCAGGACAAAATAGACCACTTAGAAAGACTACTTGCAGAGAACAATGAGATCATTGGCAACATCAGGGACTCCGTAATTAACCTGAGGGAAACTGTGAAAGATGGGAAAATGTTTCCTGAAGGGAACATGAGTCAGGGGGACTTGGAATTGCTGCCCCCTGCTCCTGCACTGCTCCCCATCCACTCAGAGGACTGCCAGTTTACAGCAAGGACCTACTCCAAGGCAGCGGATGGAGTACAGGTACAAAAAAAAAAAAAAGATTAGGTTAAGATTAGGTGGACCAATTGATTGTCAGGGCTCAATAATAATACTTCTTTTGCTTGCCCAGTGATGCGGATTTCTATAGTACCTGCCCTGTCAGTATCTGATATAAAATTATATATATACAGGCGCGGATTAACGCACAGACTTGCCTAGACTGCAGCCTAGGGGCCAGTGTTGCCAACTAATTTTCAGGGGAAGTTGCTAAAGGCAGATCGATTTGTTGCTAAAAGTTGCTAAATGACATTGTGATGTAATTGCGTGATGACTTCATTGCATAACCATGACACAATACACATCACGATTTTTTTTAAATGTTATTTGTTCATAAAAATATTATAAACATAAAATATTTTAATTTGTAAAAGTAACATAAGTAACATCTTTATGATCGGATTTTTTACAACATTAAATTATTGAACAGTTACACATTTTATGTATTTTCTTATTAACTAGTAAAACTGCACATTCTGAACAATTATAGTTTTAAGCAGTGTACTGGTAGTTAGTTAGTGTGCTACACAAAAGTCTGTAAAAATAGGACACAATGTACTGTTAATATGAAGGAACAATCCGTATTCCACATTGCATTTTGTGTTTTAAGGTTACAGGGTTACAACTTAATGGATAACATCCTGGCAGAAAATGACTAGTGCCTTTTCAGTTTTTCCACATATTTTTTCTTACAGTTTACCTAGGGCTGGACAATAATTCAATATCAATATGTATCGCGATATAATTTTTTTCAATAACGGTGATATGATTTTTAAACACATTTCCGATATTTCGATATACATTACCAGTTTCCCATACATTGATTTATTTGTGGCGTTTGAAATTTTTTTTTAAAAAGTGTAAAAATCTCGCCTCTTTTAGTTCTCATAAACCCAATCTCGTGTCTCTTGAGTTAAGTGACGGTATTAATGATAATCAAACAACAACAGACGAGGAGAAAATCACTCCCTGCTCTTGACAGAATAGCATTTGTAGCTTTTATAAGAATTGATATAGTGAAAATTGTGCACTACCATCACATTCACATCAATGCAACCAGTAAATAAATTGCTACTAGAGCACAAATTTTTTTACAAGAGGACATATTTCTTCATTGATCTAGTTACTTGATTCTGCTCTCAAAAATGCACCAGATTTATGCATTTAAATTTAAAATGAACAAAATTTTCTTACAGGGGGGCATACCCCCAGAACCCCCTAGAGGAGCCAGTGTGCACCCATCAGTCTCACAAAATCCTGTGGGGACACTGGGAATGTAGAGGAAACACTGTTTGATTGGCTGTCTCAATGTATGTGTGTGTATGCCAGTTCACCTTACTGTGTGTGTGTGTGTGTGTTTAATATTTTACAAATAATTTCATTTAAATACAATCAATAATAATAAAATAAAATATATACAATCAATAATAATAAAAATATAATAATATACAAATAATAGATATATACACAATATATATTATTAGACTGTAATTCAAATGCTGAATACATTTTATATTAAAATAACCCTAATTGCAATAATATTTCACAATATTACTGTTTTTACTGTATTTTTTTTTTAATCAAATGAATGTGGCTTTGATGAGCATTAGTGACTTCAAAAATTATACAGACCCCATACTTTTGGCTATGGTAGTATAAATAGTTTATGTTTATATATTTCTAAAAGTTTTCTTTACAAAAAAGTTACAACAATTTTTATATAAAAAAAAAAAAATTCTTTTAGCCACAATAGCTGGAAATAAGCCAGTTTTAAATAACAGTGTGTATATAACATTTGCATAGGCCAAAAGGGCTGTGCAATTAATCGAAATACAGTTTTGATTTTGATTTCGGCCTCCAGCGATTATGAAAATACATTAATAAAGATAAAACGATTATTCCGCCCCATTCCGCCTTCCTTCCAGCGGTGTGGTTTCGCTCCACCATAAAAGCCCAATTTCATGTGCAAATCAGTTAAATCATGTAACGTGACTTTTACAAAATGGGACGTGTTTGATTTATTAAAGCTGATTAGCTTTATTCATGGTTTTAAAAGCGCGAAAGAGAACTTGCGCTGCTCCTCAAGCAGCATTTCTGTGATGCGCTCAAAGACGGAACAGATCACGGACATATAAAGTCATCTTTTAGCTCAAGGTGCACGCCTAAACGGTCAAATACACGCAAAAATGTGTCAAAATGCGGCACTTAGTGATTATTCACGTAATCCCTCGTCGGTCATGTAATAAACGTAAAGAGTTGAGAATGAAGATACATGTATAAAATGTATGCAGTACATGGATAATTGTGCATGCATCTATTAATCATTTTGAGTCTAATTTCATCCCATACCCCCAGAGTGAGTTTTTTTAAGGCGACCATTATTTTAGAACTTTTCCCCTTACTGTTTCCATGGCGACGCGTCATGCTTGTCACGTGACACACCGCTGCCACAATAACACTGTATGACAGATGGATCGCTTTTATTTAGTTTTTCCTTTTTTATTTAAAATATTCACAAACTTGCATACCATGTCATGAACAATCTGATATTCCGATTCACAAATATGTGTAAATGAGTGTGTTTTGTTGTTTAAAAACCTCTCTAAATGATCTTGATCGTGATCTGTAATGTGAGATGGGCGCCGCCATGTTTGTTTTTTTATGTTTTACTAATATTATTTACCCTAGTATTCTGCTGTGGTATTGAGAATTGTGACATTTCTCTGGTCTCTAAAATGTAAATGTCGTAGCAACCTTCTTTACAGAAAATATATATTTGATATATATCGCTATCTTTAAATAAATCATTATTATAAAGTTTTGGTCATATGGCCCACTCATAATCGTGTTAAATAATCGTGATTACAATTTTAACCAAAATAATTGTGATTATGATTTTTGTCATAATCGAAAGCCCTATGTGATAGAACACATGCATTCAGATGGCAATTAATTAATGGTGGAAAAGGTATCCATTCTTCCTCCAGATTAAAACCTCAATATCATCATATTTTTGTAAGATGTACACAAGTAAACCACACTAGCATACTGGTCAGCTATATGATAAAGGCAGACTTTAACTGAAGGGTTAAAATATGTTATCAGGATGTTCACAGCTGTTGCATGTATTTTGTATGTTATGAATCAGTAAGACATTCATCATTCCATAAGCATTTGGTTGGCATGACTGAGAAAGTAAGAGAAAAATTATTCATGCAGTCACCTTGAAACTATGTTTTGCTATTTTATAATGCACAATATACTTTTTTAAAAGATTTTTGCCTGAACAATGTTACTGTAAACAAACACGTATAGATCAATGCCAGCGAGACTTGTTTTCTGGAGACCCATTCTGTGGAGGTTGAGAAATATTTCAATGCCTGAATTGTGTCACACTAGCAGACTAATTTTTTGCATATATTTGCATGTGAGTTTGTCTATGGCTTGCCTTATTCCTCAGCCCTTTACCGCCTTTATTTGTTTCACATGGGGACGTGATGTAATATCAGCATTTACAGGTGCAAGTCTATGATTTGTATTGCTATCCAACCTAGGAATATTGGTGTTTTTCCACCCGTCACTTGAGAAACAAATCCCTGCTGAATTACCTCCCGTTTTTTGACAAAGACCAGGGTTGTGTTGTGTTTGTCAATAATTCAATTTAATTCCTGTCCAAATAAACATCTTCGAGTTTACATGCAGGAAATGCTTAAGAGAATATAATTTTTTGTTTGTTTGTTTCAGAAAACTGACAGCTGAAATTAGCTAGAACCACATGTTTTAGGATGCCATCTGGATTTAAATAAATGTAGCCAATACAAACAAATACATGCTTTGTCCTCTTTTGATTTAAATGATGCTTGAATGAGTTTAATCACAGAGAATCCATGAGGATGCTCTTGTTATCATTAAACTAATTGTCAGTGAATTTTCATCAAGACTTCCTCCTGCCCAGCCTTTAAGTACTCCACAAACAGATTTTCACTTTCATAACCAATAGATATTGATGTACACATGTAGTAGTATTATGAACTGACTTCTGCACTTAGTCAACAAAATAGGAATTGAGTGGAAGTATGTCTGTTATAGTCCAGTAAAATTATGTTCTTTCCTCATTTCTTCCAGATGCTGGATGTTTATGATTTACTCAGCTTTGATAACCTTGATGGTGGAGTATGGAAACAAGGCTTTGATATCTCTTATAAGGACAATGAATGGGACAATGAGCCACTCCAAGTCTTTGTTGTGCCGCATTCACATAATGACCCTGGTGAGTGCTAATGTTTGTTGGCTATTGTCTTGTGTTTGTAGTCAATGAGAATCACCGTTTATCAGGTAAACAGACAAGTGTTTGTTTGATGTATGTACATGATGAATATTACAAGCATTTGTGATTAATGGCTGAAATTTGATCACTTGCAGACCTAGATTAAATTCAGGGATGTACGTGAGTAATTAACTAGTGAAGTACCCGTGCACAAATTAGTCAACTAGTAAAAACACGGTTTGAGGCAACAATGAAATATAATTTCTCAATGAATATTCACCTAAATCTCACCACTTCAACAGTGTTTGGGTGGTACTTAGAGCTGGGTCATAAATCTATAACAATATCTATTGACAAAAATAAATCCACAACATTGTTAATAAACATTTGAGTAATTCGCTCTATTTAGCCTACATCTAGATATGTGAAGTAAAGCTATCATTAAATTGTTAAATACAACACAAACTCACAGTTCATAACTACAAACCGCAAATATAAAAGTTTGTGCAGTATGTAAGTTTTGTTGTGTAACACCTTATTTGACAAAACAAAATGTTTTGTTGTAAATGTAATTATAATTTGATTTGATTTAAACTGTTTAAGCTTTATGAATTAATTTCATTAGGCACCAGTTTGATGATGAATATATACTGTACATTAAATCATAAAACACAGAACCCAACCCAACAACATATATATACTTTTATTATCGAGGTCTAACAAGTGTGGAATGCATTTCCTTTCCCATTATTGGTATGAAATCAATAGCATGATGAATATTTATATCAAATGATATAGAAAAAAACGTGATAACATTTTTGGCCATTTTTCCCAGCCCTAGTGGTACTCAGGATGTGAGATGCTTTCAGACACACATGTTAATTATTATTAGTGTATTCAGTTTCTGTTAGAGTCATGCAAATAAAGCGAGGCAGTATTTAGAATGGTTTTAAAACAGAAATGGAACTCTTGAATTTATGTTAATGCACTTACATAAATTATTCATTACAACCTTTTTATAGTTTCAGCTATAGTTTAAATAGACTAAAAAAACGGTCTATGTTTGAGTCTGACTAAATAAACCTTTTTGAGGTAGGAATAGTTTTCCAGGCGGATGAATGTCTGTTGTTTGAAAAATCCCATGGGAGGAATTTGTTCTGTGTAAAACTGATTTAGCTTACATTTGGAAGGAAGTTCTTTCTCAATCAGTCTTTAAAACTCAAGAAAATGTGGTTTATTAGTACATGTATTACTGATTTTATCTTACTTTTAATTGTAGGATCTTGTTTTTACATTTATATTTATTTTAGTCTATGATTAACATCTTTTTAATTACAAAAGAGTAATTTCTATTGCCATTTAAGCTTTGTCTTTGATTTGCACTCTGAATTAAGATCTGTCTGTGATCTGATCACAACTAGCTAGACGAGACACATATTTACACCTGGTAGTCTCTCAGCTCTTAAATCTCTTTTGACCACTTGGATGAGATTTTGAGTGAAGGGTCTCTGGTTTCATGACTATATACATCACTCATGATCACCAATAAATTCTTACTGTGTGTTGATTTTGCATAACATTCCACATGTCCTTTCCTTTCCTTTCCTTTCCTTTCCATTCCATTCCTTTGATTTCCTTTCCTTTCCTTTGATTTCCTTTCCATTCCATTCCTTTCCATTCCATTCCATTCCTTTCCTTTCCTTTCCTTTCCTTTCCTTTCCATTCCATTCCTTTGATTTCCTTTCCTTTCCTTTGATTTCCTTTCCATTCCATTCCTTTCCATTCCATTCCATTCCTTTCCTTTCCTTTCCTTTCCTTTCCTTTCCATTCCATTCCTTTGATTTCCTTTCCTTTCCTTTCCTTTCCTTTGATTTCCTTTCCATTCCTTTCCATTCCTTTCCTTTCCATTCCTTTCCTTTCCTTTCCTTTCCTTTCCTTTCCTTTCCTTTCCTTTCCTTTCCTTTGATTTCCATTCCTTTCCGTTCCTTTGATTTCCTTTCCGTTCCTTTGATTTCCTTTCTTCTGCACTTCTGACTATCTCCTTGGTTGGTTTTGGTGTTAGGATACATTTTGCACCCTGTTCAACCACTTCTGGTCAAATCACCTGAGAGCGATATTAATACCAGGTGTAAACGGGGTCATAGTTACGTCAGGTCCTTTTCTGGTATCCTTGTGCTTATTGTGAGAAAGTCGCCATGACAACGAAGTTAAAGATACGATATAATTTTACACACAAAAGGTCTAATATTTACATGGTTATACTTTAAAGGGGTCATATGATGCTGCTAAAAAGAACATTATTTTGTGTATTTGGTGTAATGAAATGTGTTTATGCGGTTTAAAGTTAAAAAAACACATTATTTTCCACATACTGTACATTTTTGTTTCCCCTCGATGCCCCCCCCCCCCGCCTTTCTGAAATGCGTCGATTTTTACAAAGCTCATTGTTCTGAAAAGCGAGGTGTGCTCTGATTGGCCAGCTATCCAGTGTGTGTGACGGAAATGTTATGCCTAGGGCTGCACGATAAATCGCATGTGATATTTAATGCGCATCTTGTCAGTAAAGCCAGTTCTGTAATCAGCGATAAATCTCCATCACGTGCGTGCTTTCACATTGAGCAGCATTTACTACACAGAGCCGTTGTTCACAGACAAGCTGCGCAAAATCACGATCATATTTTGCGCATACGGCCTAGTTACGCCCCTACCATACTGTTATGCCCTGTTCGGCCAGAGCGACGATTCAAAAACATTAAAACCCATTATAAACGAGGCTTTTGTTGCATCCAGTGGGGACGTAATTACGGATTATAATAACTTATATTTACTTTTTACACGTTGCGTTGCATCGCGCCACGTAAACAAAACCATGTCTGCATTTGTGATCGGAGAAATGACAAACAAGCGCTACTCTACACTGCTCAAAACTCGCGTTTGAATCACCAGTCTCTTTGGATTTGAGACTTTAGTCTTTGCAACTTTACAGATCTTCTTTATGCACCAAGAGCTTGTAACACTTCAAAGAGAAAGGAAAAATTGAAATCGCATCATATGACCCCTTTAAGAATTGTGTGTATTTTGTCCATTATAAAGTGCCTTACTAAAACTGTGAGTTTTAGCTTACAAATAGTTAGGGATAGTAGAGATTACTTCCTGTGATGATGGACAAGTGCTGTTTATAGCTGAACTTGTATTGAACTCTGAATATTTCTTTAAACCAGCTAACTGAATAGACTTGCCGTTTTGTGTTTTTTCCAGGGTATTTCAATATCTGTCATAGATGACAATTGATGTACCTTTCCACAGTCATCTCACTCAGGGCAAAATAACTAATAATGAAATAGCATTCTACAAAAACAGGAAGTTTATTACTTGACCCTTCTGTGTGAATTACCAAGTGTGCACTTCATATTTTACATATATGAGAAAGGACAAAATGGAAATTATTGTCAGATACACAGCAGTCAGTATTTTAACTCACCAAAAAGGAGTTTAATATGACATATTACCTGATTTTCTCTTACTTTGATGGTAGGATTTTGTTACTAGATTTACCTCTTTTTAATCTATGATTAATGTTTTTTTTTAATTACAAATAAATCTGAAATCATATATATGGAAATATTAAATATTATTAAATATAAATATTTCAGGAAATATATGCCTCTTCTATAATAAACATTTTGTCTATTTGTACTTTCAGTTTATTTTGATATTTTTGTAGGGTGAAAAGTAAAAAAGAAAAATCTGGTTGGTTTATCCATACTCAAAAGGAAAAGGTTGATGACTTAATTTGTCATAATGTTTGTTTATTATTTCTTAAATTAGCAGTGAAGCTGAAGTTTTGAGTAAAATATTAACATTGAAAGCAAGCCATGCAGGAAGCCATTTTGTTATTATGTTACAGGGAAATCTTAAAACAGGAAATTATGTAACAAAGAGAGCCCCATGGCAGGTTCACTTGATCCCGATCACGTGATTTTTAGCAGGTTTTTACATAAGTTGTTTCTGTGTTCAGTTTGATGCAGCACAAAAAAAATAAAAAATAAAATAGGGGCTCACAAGACTCTCTAAGCTTGAAACTCCGTGTTAAAAATGCAATACGCATGGCACAAGATGCTAAAAACTTTTGCTAAACGAAATACTTAAAATATTACTTAAAATAAATAAACACAAATGTAAATAAATAAAGCCTATACAATTCAAATTACTCACTCAAGTGTGACTAGACTGTTGATGGATAACTAGTGTTCCAACATGAACCCATTTCAGTTATTTTTAAGCAAACATTACCAGGTGAATTAACATGCACTGTTCTCACACACGCAGGTCAACCGACTCGCTAGCACGTTTGTTGTTTGACTTCATAATTTGTGTGTGTGGTAACCTGATCTGTCCTGTTTTTGTTCTGTGTCAACATTTCTTTCACTTGTCACTTGTTTCTAGTGTTGTTTTTGGCGGCCTGTTTTAATTTTAGTTTTAGTCTAGTCTTTGTGTGAAGCTGTCATTTTAGTTTTTATTAGTTTTAGTCACGTTCATACTCTTTTTAGTCTAGTCAAGTTTTAGTTAACTAAAAGTCTGAGCATTTTAGCCTTATTTTAGTCAGAATTATCCATGACTATTTTAGTCTAGTTTTAGTCGACGAAAACTGATGACATTTTAGTCTAGTTTTAGTCGACGAAAACTGATGACATTTAGTCTAGTTTTAGTCAATGAAAATTTTATTTTAGTCTCTTTTTAGAAATGCAATTCTATTTAACCCAGTCAATATAGTATAAGTACCTAGTAGTACAGACGAAACCAAAATTTTCTTTTAGCCAAACCCATTTCAAACAAAGTTATCTTATTATATTATTGTTACCTTATAGACTCAAGAATACAT